CTAATTTTTAACAAATTGTAAAAATATCACATGCAACCTAAACACATCAACATGTCTCAATAAAAACAAAATGCTGCTAAAGTAATAAATCAAGGATGAATGGCCAGCAGGTCATAATCTGCATTATAGATTGATCTGTCAAAATGTGGAGCGGTTTGCTCTGACTTTATTATACATACATAAACATAGATGGACGGGAATGACGAAGCTTTTTAAAGTCGAGTTTCTCATCTTTGATTCTGAATTTAAAAAGATGGCTGAACTCCTGCAGCTATTTAATGCAGTTTCTTCTTAGCAGATCCTTTTTCTCACCTCTGCCATACTCTGATTTGTTGTAGCCTAGTTTACCAGGTTGGATAACCTTGTCTTTAATCTGTAGTGTGGTACATTCTTCCATTACAGTCCTGCTCTTATTAAAAACAATCCTTACATTTACCTTCATATTGTTATAAACATAGTCTAATCTGCATTAAGGACCTATGTTCCTCATTTCCTCACAGTTTTAGCTGCTTCATATCCCTCAGATGATGAACCGTAATCTCTGTTTGTAACCCGTTTATTGTAGACAGAGGTCCTCCTCTCTAGCATGGATTCCCTTCTGACCAGCTGTTTTATGCTCATTAAAAACTGCATCTTTTTACTTTACCACTTAACCTGCTGTACAATATATTAGGTTTGATCCCAAAAGAAAATATTGGGAAAAGGGAAGCCCAATTACTACAGATTCTGCTATTAGTAGCAAGGGAAATGATAACTCTGTCTTGGCTTAAACCTTTACCCCAACCCTTCAACCATGGCAAGAAAGGTTGAAGAATGTGGATAAAATGGAGAAGATAACAGCAAAACTTCATGTGAAAATGGACATATTCTTGGAAGTGTGGGCCCCTGCTATTAACTAGCAGCCTCATATGCTAAAAAAAAAAATTATATCAGCCCCCGTTCGTATTTCCCCTCTTTTATGGTACACTAGACATATACACCTCCCATTAATGGGAGCTAATGAAGACCCCTCTAAGAACTGTCAATTGCTGAAACAGATTTGAATGTTTGCTGAGCCCCATCCCTTTTTATTTTATTTATTTTATTGTATTTTATTTTATTCATTTTCTTCTTTCTCCACTACTTTTGGGTTTGATGTTCTCTGTAGTTGCATATATGAAGATACATTTGTATATATGTTGGATTTATTATATTTTTAAATAAAGAATGTATTTCAGAGATTTTGGGCACTATTAGTTGATCGGAGCTTTAAAGTCGGACGAATAGGTCCACAGGTTTGTAATGCAGGCTGTTTACACCTTAGTCCCAGTTCAGATCATCTTTAAATACCACTATTATTCCTAACACTTTATGCTAGTGAAGATTGTAGGTCCATTGTAGGTTTTTGAGAGCTCAAACCAATTTCCATGTTTTCTAAAACCAAAAATAAGTTTTTGGGCTACTAAATAAAACTTCAAACTCAACGCCAATTCTTACATTTAAGCTTCCTGGATGGGAAGCAAAACATCTTAAAACTTGGAAACCACGTGGATTGTTTTTAACTTTTTTGAAACAGCTTAGACCAGCATTTCTCTTTCATTTAAAATAAAAGTGTTCAGAGAGCGACAGCTCTGTGGAACAGACCATTTTTTTCGTCTGTAATATAATTTTCTTTGTGAAAGCTCAGTCGCACTGCATCATCACAAAGTAACTGGCTTCATGGATGTCCTATAAATGATATAATTTCCCACACAGCTACAAAAAAACTAGGCCTTAAGTTTTACATCGAACCTGGATGCTTTACCTAATTCTGTTACAGCTCCTCGTCCGGCTGATGTTTGACTTCATCAATTAGGCTACACTGAATAGACTGTATGTAAATTGGAAAACAACACAGTGAACGTTTTTATCAAAAGGTTGCAGCAGAATGAAAGGAATAATGAGCAGGAACGTCTGAATGGGGGAACTGTCTGCCTCATCAAGCTGCAGGCCTTCAGCTAACCTTTAGCTTTCTTTCTTTTCCTCTTGCAGAGACGGAATTGGCCGCCGTGAACTCCGCTTGCAGAATCTGCCACATGTTCACCGAGACTCTGCCTGTCTCTCATGAAAAATTCATCAGCCAGCGCCGACGGAAAAGCTGTGATGTCAGAGATTCCAGTATGGGTGTCTTGTTTCCACGTGGACACAGTGACACAGCAGAGAGGGGACAGACAGAGGAGCCGGGGGCTTCGGATGCCTTCATGCAGGGGTTAAACTGGAGCTACTGTTCTGTGAACCCTGACATAAGAGCACAACTCATTTATTACTGATCTATTTCTGCCAATTAGTCTGCAAAGGCTGACGGCAAGTTTAGCTCATTTTTATTAACTTTTCACAAGAAATTAATTTACAACGGTTCCTTTTGGTAACATTTATCTGAGTCCAGACAATTACCACACAGGTTGAGAGATTTTAACTGTTTATCTGTGTTGGTTACATCTTACTGTTTCAGCATATGGTTTTCTAATGACTAGAATCAATGCTGCCACATAAAAATATAATTTTGGCCACATTAACCTTGCTAAGATGTCTGCCCTTTACTGCTACTTTTAATCATTAATCAGGTTTCAATCTGTACTTCATTGATAAATGCTCATCCTGAATGAAAGATGTATTACACCACAATAAAGAGTTTTTCAAAAGTTGTTTGTTTTTGCCTCATGGACATTTTCAATTTATTTTTATGTTAATGTCGTTATTGTGGTCATAATAAGAACCACGTTTGCTTGCAATTAAACTGGGATGTAATTCAAATAAATTTCCCCCATATTTTTAAGCTATGAACCTATCTTAAGGGTCATTTTCCTGCAGGAATGAGACCCTTCCGACCATCTATAAAATCTTTACTTACAGGGTTGCCCTTTAATTAGCTTCATCCATCTTCCTATCAACTCTGACCAGCCTCCCTGCTAAAGAAAAACATCTCTATATAATGATGCTTCACTCAGCATATTTTAGTGTGTAGGCTTCAGGCTGACCATTGCAGCTTCTCCCACTTCTAAAGGCTATTTGGTTGCCCTGCATTTTATTTTCCTGTATTACAGAAAATGGTGTTTTCCCATTATGGGCGTGTAAGGTACTAATAAGTACATTTTAGCATAAAAACTTGATTTTTAAAACACAATTACCTTCTTATACAAAAGAAACCTGTCTGTTTGAAGAGCTGGAGACAGTTATACAAAAGCACAGACCACCCGCTCTCCATCCTGAGTGCCCTCTCAAGCAGATGAAGACACAAACCCCCACAAGCAGAGAGGAAGAGGGACTTTAAAAGCAGGGGTGGAGCATCCAGGTTCAGAAGGGTTCCCAAACGGCGGGTATGTCAAGACAGATGTTCTTAGTGATGTTTTGTTTTTTCTACACAATTAAAGGTAGCCTCATTGCTGCACCCCTGGGTACAGAATTTACATGGTTTGTACCAGGTGGAGGTAAAACTGAGGTCCTACAGGAGCTCTGGATGGAGCTTATTTAATAATAATTTAACTTTATTTTATTGGGGAGCAGTGGGCTGCCACTGTGCAGCACTAGAGGGTTAAGGGTCTTAGCCTCGTGAGACCATCCTGATCTCGCGAACTTTCAAGGTTTCACTCGCTAATCAGTCTGGAGACTCTCCGTTAAAGAAAATTTGGAGCCGTTCACCAAACGAACGTCCAATCAGCGTTGGCTTTGAGGCGGGTTGAGGTGTGACGCAACGAGCAGCGCGACAGTTTAGTCTAAAGAACATGGAGGCTTCAGCCGATGAAACTAGCGTTAGCGTGGCTATCGAGCAAGTTTTATCGAAATTACAGAGTATTTCTTCACTGAAAGAAGAGCAAAACACTGCTCTGGAGGCTTTTCTCAGAGGAAAAGATGTTTTTGCTCTTCTCCCGACTGGTTTCGGCAAGAGTAGCCTGGCTTGTGGTTGTGTTTTCGTCGTCGCTCTGTTAGTACGTCATATGCTTTGTTGATCTGATTGGTTTATTTGGCCCGTCTATCACCAACTTACGCCAATCAGCTAACCAGTATTTTCGCCCCTTCACCAAAATTACTTCAACGGAAGGTTTCCAGATGGATATGCGGAGCAAATCCATCTGGCGGAGTCAGGTTATAAGGGTCTTGCTCAGGAACCTAGAATGGAGGCAGTGGGATTCAAACCAGGTACCTGCCACTTCATGAGAGCACAAGCACACTGCTCTAACCCACAAGCCCAACACTTTCCCATTTTCAGATGAAGAATGTTTTCTTTTTTTTGTCTTAAATGCAAAATTTATATATTTTTGGACAGATTTTACTGTACTTGAGTCTTTACATCCAAGGTAAAGTTTCTTTAGATACTAAACTGTCAATTTCAATAAATAATTAATTGCAATAAGAGTTGGGCAGTAATCATAATGTTTATCGCTATCACGATAAATTGCTGGTCATGATACGAAATATGGTTTATCGTCTGGATGATAAATAAAAAAATTAATGACAGATAAAAACTAAAGAAACTTGTTGATTTGCCAGAATTTTTTGTTCTTTTTCTTTCATTATTTCCCATTGAAGCATTGATATTTTTAAAGAATATGATTAAATTAAATCAAATTAGATGTTTAGTGATATAAATCCTACTACTTTATATAACTGCTGTCCTGAAGGAGCCGATTTATAATTATAAGTGCATATTGCCCAGCCCTTATCCCAATTGATTAAATCTTTTAGCTCTATACCACTCTTTTTTTTTCTTCATATTTAAACACTACTCTAAAAAGAGTTTTGGCGTTTGACCTTCAAAAATGAGAAAAAAGAGAAGAATATTAATACCTATAGAGTGACTTTCAGCTTGTTTTAGGCATATTTTAAGGGTAACTATTCCTATAACCTCTATTGACCTAGTTCTCCTGGATCAGTCAGCAATCTAAACTATGATAACTTATGATTTTTCAATCGCTGCTTCAGCTGCAGCCATGTCATAAATCTGCGGGTCGAATGAACTACTCAGAGAGTTAGAAGCTTATTACCTGCCGGCTGTCTCGCTGGGAGGAAGAGGAAGAAGAAGCGCTCTTCTGAACCGGCGCGGCGGTCCTGTTCACCGGTGTGAAGCTCCTATCCTCGGAGCTCATGGTGCGGCCGTGAAGGCCTCGCTGGTATTGATGGTGCTGAGACATGGTGGCCCACCGGTCAGCCCTGCGGAGCTTCAGCAACGAGGCCCACAGATCGGGGACATCCTCTGAGACTTCCTCACACACACAGCCTGCCGCTCATCTGAAACACAAGGGTCAGGAAGTCACAGACAGAATCTGCTCATTTTTATTTCAGACAGCAATCAGAACATCCGATCTTCTCTGATAGCTTTAATTCAGAGCGATTATCTGAGAAACCACCGAGCTGACTGACTCAGCAGTTTGTGAGGTTTAAACAATTTCCTTAAAACCAAAGTAACTGAATAAGCTTTCATTGTCTTATTAATGTCACTAAGGATCATTTACACCAACGTAGCATCTCCAGAACTCCTGCATTACATTAACGCACAGCCTACTGTGTATATAGTACATAGCTGTATACTATATAATGTATATAGTAAATTGCATGTTTTATATTTCATTATAACTCTAGAGCCTGTATTCCGTATATACTGTATATATCTAAATTGTCTGCACCATCAACTGCAAGTCAAATTCCTTGTAAGTGCAAACCTACTTGGCAATAAACTTGATTCTTAGCACACATTGAACAGAGATATGAACTCAAAAAGTTGAAATATCTACAAAAAAATTAAACTAATTTGTTCCATTTTATAATGTTGTTCAATTCAACTTTAGTTCTGAAATGCACCATTCACAATAGTTACCATTTCTCACAAAAGTGTATATATTAACCCTCTTAAGGCAGATGTTGCAGATTTGCAACAACAGCTAAATGCCACTTAGCTAATTACTCCACATCCATATTTTAAAAGCTTTTGTTACTCAGAAGTACAACAGAAGGACTTAGTTGTGCATTTGGAACAAACAGTTTCTCTCCAGCTCACCAGATAGCCCTGCTGACTCACTTTCAACATGGCTGAGTCCTTGGTGTCACTGAAACAGATTTTCTAAACACTAATAACATGTAAGTATTGCTACCAATTTCCATTATTTTGAAATCAATACCACATAAGATGAATCATGAATGTGTATAGATATGACACATGCCAATTAGTAGATTCTATCTCCTCTGGGTTTTTCACCAGAGGCATCTCGATTTCAATGTTGTGGATTTGCAACGTGTGCCCAAACAGATACCAACGGATGCCTAGTGCTTTATCTACTAGTTTGCCTATATTTTGAGCAACAGTTCAACAGAAACGGCCTTCTCAAGAGGTTTTGAGATGTTGGTGGAAAAAAAGTTTGAGAAAAAGTTGTCTCTAATTTTGTGAAAGAACTTTTTTTTTTTCAAATTTTGTTTTGTTAATTTTTTGTTTGTGACATTTAAATTAACGTTCATATCAGATGTAGTCTTCAGTGTTAATTTACCACTCCGGGCCACTGTTGCAAATCTGCAACATCCCAGAATTCATTGCATGTGAAGGTCTCTCTCAAAAAAAGTCTGAATTGTATATTACTACTCCATATGATCATTTTCTCCAAATATCCGATTTTTCCTGCAACTACAACTTAATTTGAGCATGAGAGGGTTAATGTGAGTAATATGAGTATCAACCCTATTTATCCTGCATATTTTACATGATCGCAAAAACATCAAGTAATGTTCAACATTCACAGTCTGACCTTTTAATTTCCTATAAAGTAAAGATAAACAGTCAGAGATGGCCGAGCATTTAACATTTAAACAATATCCCTTTGTTCAATAGCAGTAATATATTTCTAATAGTTAAATAAAGTCCACGATTGCAGTGTTTGTCACTCACTGATTCTGTTTAGTTTAATTGGTTTTGTTTTTAAAACAAATATTTCTAAAATGTTATACTGGAGGAGTTAAACAAGTTTTTGCAGGATTTTGGGAAATTTCCTTTTGTTCATATCAATTCTATCGTATCGACCGAAATGCTGACCATGTCGTCTAATGCTAGTTAGTAGGATTTATTTTAAGTTTTAAGATCATTTTAATGGATAAATTAAAAAAAGTTCGACTTAGATTCAAATATTAAAGCAAAGGAACTGAACAGATAAAGACTTTTATCAAAGTGCTTAAAGGATAAGTTCCCCCAAACACCATAACTTTACAATCTTGTGAAGGTAAATATGAGGCAATCAGTGGAATAAATGTGTCGATTAATTTCCAAACATGTGGTTAAACAGCGGCTCTGGTAGCAGCAGGGAGGGCTGCTTTTCATCATTAGTCATGGCACATGCTGACATCTATCACACTGCCTGCAGCGCTGCTGGGTAATTGCCTAAACTTTCTGTAACTCTGCATAAATCTATTAAATGACAGAAAGTGCACACTTGATGCATCCTTTCTCTTCACACAGAAAATATTACTTTCAGCTTCGATTTCTGAACGAAAGATTAGTGAAGCACGCCACTGATAAGAAATGAAAATCTCACATAAAACTGGCCTCAGACTGGTCCCACTGGCTTCATATTATAAGTAATGCTTAAATACTTTGTGCTTTTTCCTGCAGCATCAATAGATGCTGCTGCACACGGCATGAGAGCACCCTGTGGTTTTAACTGCAGGATGTTTTGGTTAGACTCTCCCGTGTGTAAGGAAACTCCCCAGAGTCCACTCAGCAGCACTGAGCATGCTCACCAGCAGCCATGCAGCTTTTTCACGCAGCATAATCTATAATTCAGATCCTTGGATAGCGTCATCATCCCCACTCTGCCTCGTCCTTAAGCCAACCAGGATGTAAGCTACAGTAAGACAAGGCGCTAAGTCTGTTCACACTGTGTGTCGCACTTAGCCTATTTAACACATCCGCTCTCCTTGACCCAGTGAGAAGCAGAGGTGATGTGTGCTTTAAATGTAAATTTCACTATTCCCATACAATATTAATCCAGACAGCGGGAGCCATGGCGTGCACGGGAAAACTGTGAGGGTTGTCGGTCAGATTTGTTCACATTTAAGTTACAGAAACACATCTTTCAGGAAGTGAAAAACAAAAGTGGATATGAAGTAAATGGGAAGCAGCAGTGAAGCAAAAACACACAAAAATCCAATGGGGCTGTACTTTCTCACTTCAGTTTTTCATCTTTACAGAACATCTCTAAAATAAAATGTGAGCTCTCTTCATAACAACAAATGCAAAAAGACAAAAAAAATGGACTATTTGGGACTATTTCATCAAAATTTTATGTGATCACCTGAAACACATAAATGCATAACTGAGAAGTGGAAAGAGAAGAGTTCTGGTCTTTGAAACTTTTGCACACATTGTGAACCACCCCTGCAGAACTGATCAGTCATATGCACCTTTGGCATCCCTTAGTTATTTAAAGCCTAACTACCACAAATTCCTGGACCCGCATCCCTCCATAGGTACACGTTACACCTACAGTACACTGATTTTTAGCTTTCTTTGAGGTAAATTAAAGTAATATTTAAAAACTCATCCAATCTGTTTCATTTTTGTCGAAACCCTTGAAACAAGTTACACAAACAGAACAACAAAAACATTCCACCTTGCGTTTGCATTCAGGCTTTTTGCATTTTTACCCTAAAATAAAGCCCACCGCCACACTAAACATTGAAGGGATCTAACAATTAAGCTACTAGTTCAAGAAAGATAGCAGAAGTCCCATTTTGGTTTGCGAGCATCCTGTGCACTGGGAAACTAAAATTGAACATAACCCTGAACACAAGTCTGAATCATGTAGAGATACTGTTCCACTGATCTGGGAAAGATAGATGCGGGTAAAAGCAGAGGAAAACCTGTTAGAGGCTGCAAAGGCCTTAATGCTGGTCTGGAAGTTCGCCTCTTTTTGCAGGAAGGGTCTATAACACCGACCCAGAGCTACCATGCAATGGTAGTCCATGATCAAAGCATATTGAATTGTTAGAACGGCCGAGTCAAAGTCCAGAACTAAACACAATTTAAAGATCTGTGGGAAGAATTGAAAGATGAAATCCACAGACTTTTCTCACCCAAACCTACTCTGACTACGGTGGTTTTGCAAAGAAAAATTAATCCAAATTTCCAATTGTATCTTCATGTTGTATCCCAAAAAAGCTACTAACCATGAAAACAAATGCAAAAAAAATTGGGACAAAGTTCAAGGGAATGGAAACCTTTACAAAACCCTGTACTTTTGAGCCATTTTAGATTCAGAAATAGAATATATTAGACTTTAATCACTGTTACCATAACGTCCAATACCCAAAGCAGAAAATCTGACAGGGAGCCAGTTTTACTTCTGTTCCAGTAGCCAGCAAAGCTGCTCCATCCTTTCAAAGTTATGTCGGTGCCGAGAAGGGTTCGATCAGGACCTAATGAGTCATAAGCTCATTGCTCTAATTCCAGCGCCCATGAATATGGTCCACTCAGAAGACAGACAGGACAGGTTACATCAGTCAGCACTGCTAAAACACTTACAGTAGTCAAAACATTGTTTTTACTTTGTTTTTTTTTTCCTAACAATGATTTTGCCTGCATTCACTGATATTTGTCCTTAAATGTTTTTAAAGGCTTTGTGTGGAGTCGTCCTTTACTTCATTTAATGCCCATGTTACCTCTCCAATCAATACTTTTTATCTACATGATGATGGGCATGCATTTGCTTGTTGCAAGAAATGTTTTCCAATGTGTTAAGAATAATGACCAACCCGTCTATAAAAGGCATTAACAGTCTCGGGTGCATGTGGAAAAGCTTTCAACCAACAAACCCTTTACTGCTCAAAATCGTTTCATGGGCCGGATTTGGGTTAAATGCAAATTATCTGTTGTAGCTTTAAGATCAAGTTACAACATGAGGATACTTCACATGTGCAAAGCAACAGTAGCGACAGCATCCAGAGAATGAGGCAGTAATTCCCAGTGTTTGCAATTTCCAAGCTCCTAAAGGTTGCATTAAGATTTCATAGGTAAAAATGTCCAAAGAAACTGATCTTCTACCACAAGAAATGAGCATCCATGTATTTTCCCGGCATCTAAAGTTTTGACCGGGCTCAAATTCAGTCTAATTACCTAATGTAATGTAGCAGCGCCTTGCAAAGGAAGCAGGATGGACATGATAATTATTCAACTGGTACTAATAGTGTTTATCTATGACTTCACCCCCATGTTAGTGGAGCAAGACTTCCTGAGAGACAGTGAGGAAGTG